AAGGGGGAGACCCCCTTAAACCCCCCTTTTTACTAAGGAAATCTTATACCCTTTTGCGAATTGCTTATATTTAATAATTTACTATAAGTTATGGGGAGACCCTTTTTAAACCCTCTTTTTTAGTAAAAAAATCCTAGAGCTTTTTGCGAATCACTTATATTTAAGGCAACGACGTGCTTTACGTATAGCAGCCTTACGTAGGTTACGGGTGGCAGCCTAGCTGCCTTACGTATTACGTAAGGCAGCGACGTGCGTTACGTGTAGCAGCGACGTGCGTTACGTGTAGCAGCGACGTGCGTTACGTGTGGCAGCCTTACGTGCGTTACATATGGCAGAATTAATGGCGGTGGCTGAATTAGGCTTAGCTGTTGTACATGAATTAAACGGGCCGACTCGTTCCGAAAAAAGTTCAATAGATTGATATAGAATAAAAGTCTTGGCACGCTCAGAAATCCTGCCAGATTCGTATAGAATAGTCTCACGTGACTGGATGACTAACCACCACCACCACAACTACTGGAATTTATCTTGGGTTACCGTAGGTGACAATAAGCAGATTCCGCGAAGCTTTCGAAGACTTTAAAAAACTTAAAAGCTGCTGCTTAATCGGCAATCGTTAAGCTGTCCCGATCTTCTTCCGTTATAAAAATAAAACTTGTAAAGACTCGCAAGCTTACGAGCTTTTAAGCTACTCGCAAGTCTTTTAACGAATAATTTAAAATACGTTAAGACAAGCGAATCTTGATTTAAGTACTTTCCGTCGTACTTTTAGCTCGTCTCGATAGCTACGCCGCTCGCAAAGCTATTGCCGATAAATTAAACGGCGTCGATATAATTATTATCTTTCGTTTTAAAGCTACTCGTATTAATTAAGCATTTACTTCGATCAACTTTAAAGCGAAAGATCTTTTTATTATAAATAAAGTTAAAAAAGTATATTAAAAGGTTCTTAAAGCTACGAAAGCGATTATTTTGATTAAATAATATACGTACGCTATTTAAAAGGTCTTTGCCGAAATCAAAAGCCTTTTCGACGAGATTTTTAAGACGGCGAAGCATATCGACGAAAAGATCTTAGCTTAAGCTGAAAAAGCTTTAATAAGCGTTCGCATTTTTTAGCACGGAGCCGACTCGGCGACCGGCTTGACTTGCTAAATAATCTTTTTTTTAAAAAAAGTACGTAGCTTTAAGTTGTTCGGCTATAATAGCTACTTTCGGTTAATCGATAAAAAGCAACTTATTAAAAGGCACGATTTTAGCTGCTTCGGCTAGTATAACTCGATTAAGTGCACTCGGCACGCACGCTGCTTTTATTACGGCGAGCGAAAAGACTAGTACGATAAGTTCGACGGTAAAAATTATATAGCGCTTCTTCGTTATGCAAATTGCTACGGCTCGTACGAAGCTAATTATAAAAACTGCTTTACGGTTTTTAAGCGAGTTAATAGTAAAGTGATCACTTTTATTAAAAAAGAGCTAAGCGCCGTCCGACGATTAAAAGCTTAAGCTTACGCTATTGCTATTGCTTTTATAACGGAAAAGAACGAACCGACTTCGGCTTTTTAATTAAAGACTTTTGCTATCGGTGTTAACGCGGCTTTCTTTCGAAAAAGACGCGCTTTTACGATATAAAAGCACGAGCGAGCGACTTTTTCTTAAGCCGTTTTTTTATAATCTTTTTTTTAATCTTTTACGCAAGCTACGAGACTTTTGCGTAATACGGCTACGCGTTAAAATCTTAACGAAAAGACTTTAATAAATAACGCTTTCTTTATTATAAACGAAAAAAAAGACACGCTAATAGCGATATCGGATTATTACGTAAATAATATTATTAGCTTATCTTTTTCGTTTATAAGAAGCTCGAGCATTATTGTCGGTATATCCATATCGACCTTAGCTAGCTAGTAGTAGTAGTTGGGGAAGCTCACCTATGAACCATGGTTCACGGGCCACTTGGCATGCCTCGCTTAGCATGTTAGCAGTCAAGGGACTCCTAACTTGACAAGTAAGCCTATTAGTTAGCTAGTGCACGTGATTCCTTTTAATCATATAAAAGGAATCAGCTCCTTTGAGCATTAAGGAGCAGACAGAATTCAGATACTTTATTAACCGAGTGTTTTGCAATTGCAAGTACTTTGACGACCGTTACGACCTTACGAATATATATTCCTAATCGCTTAGAAGCAATCCAACACTAATTAGTGGTTGATTTACTATTAAGTGATTAATCACAAAGAAGCTAGGACTCTATAGCGAGGATACCTTTTAATACGATATCTCCCTCTTTTTACAACGAAAGAGCGATTCCGTACCAAGTCGCTTTCTTACACTTCGATACTTTTCCCTTACAACGGAAAAGCGATTCCGTACCAAGTCGCTTCTTATACTACCGATTTCCTTATTCTTACGAAAGAGTGATTCCGAACCAAGTCACTTTCAAAACAACAACGCTATAAGAGCCGCGCTTGCTATATATAGCAACCCAATTAAATTTGGATCGACCTACACATAAACAGATAACAATTATAGCCGATCGAGCAACTAGACCTCTAGATGAGGAGTCCAGCCGATAAAGAGCAAGAGAGTATTATACCCTTCGAATCTTATTACTACTCACGGAACCCTTAGCTATTCAACCAAAAGAAACCTTATACTTAAGACTCTTAAGCCTCTCGGAAGGACCAGACGATGAGATATCGGGCATCTTATTTGACTTAAACGAGCTATTATACGCAAAGCCCGATAATGAGATTACGGCCCGAGCTATAGTAAAGGATTTCCTGGATGCGAAGTATAAAGGGCTGAAGGATTACGACTTATAGAGCTTATTCCGCCACGCTTTCTTACGCTAAGATTAGACGAGTTTTACGATAACGAAGGATAATACGGGACGAGGCCTTAAGTTTGCTACTTTTATTAGCCTTAAGGAACATTTGCTATCTAAAGGCGTATAGTGCCCTTTAAAGCAAAGGGGCTACGCTAATAGGATGATCAAGCTTTTGAACGACGAGCAGCAACACTAATAGACCTTTTAGGAAATAAAAGAGCAACAAGCAACACTTTTAGGCCTCGATTCAAAGTGGACCGCCGAAAACCTTACGGACGACGAGGATAATACGCCTCAACCACCTTTACTACCTTTACGAAGTCTAAAAGGGAAGGAAAAGGAAGAAAGGGAGGAGATTCGGAGGTTACGCGAAGAGTTTGCGAAGGAAAGGAAGGATATAGAGCAAAATATAAAAGTAATAGCAAGGCAAATGGCAGAATTACGGACCTATGCTATACAATCTAACGAAGGGCTACGACGAAGCACTTCAGCGTATTTAACGCCTTTAATCTATCAATCGCTACGCAATACGTCAATCATTTAAGAAGAGCCAAAATCATCTTAGCGGCCTTTAAACTCCTTTCTTAAGAGCTATACCTAGTTTTCTGAAAAGCTTAGGCCTAGTAGCAATAATAGTAAGGGTCTTGAGATCATCATCGGACTAGATAACAATCGAGGCTACGGGAGCTATACGCTAAAGGAGGACCCGCTAAAACCTGAGAGCATTCCGGACAAAATCAGCTCTTACTAAAGATAGCGTGCAGATTTCCGTGCCCAACTTTAATAACCCGAAAAGGGAATTCAGCAACCCGAAGGAAGGATTTAGCACTTTCGGACGTATCGACAAGCTACCTATATCTTTTAAGAGGCCACGTATTAGCAAGAGAGAAACTAAGGGTATAAGAATCGCTAAGAGCGCGCCCAAGGGTACGGATATTATTAAGTTGGAGCCTCAGCCGGTGACCCGAATAGCTTTAGCGATTTTAACGATAACCGACGAAGGGGAAACGAAGGAGATTAGCAAGAAGATCGAGGCTACGGGTACGGAGGAATTAGAAATGGGCCCTCTAGATCACTAAGGGGATTCGGAAACGGACCCTTAAAGGACTCCGGATTCGGAAATGAGCCTCTTAAGGACCTTGAAAGAGGACGGACTACCGGCAATTATATCGGTAACCCTTTACCGATCAGACTATTGGTCAGGCATAGTACGCTTGCGTACGGCACTCCAAGCGCCTTTAACGACGATAGCGATGACTTCCTTGAGCTAAGAGCAGCAGACCCTTATTTAAAAGCGAAGGAGTTAGCTTTGTTTGCAAAAAGCTTTCTTAAAGAGCTAAAGTATTCGAGACTCGACGATGATTTCAAGACTTAATTGAGGATTTTTGCTAATTAAGCAAGTCGATACGGTTTGACCTCCGACGACTACTTAGCGGCGTTCCTTATCATGCTTACGAAGGAAGCTATTATATTTTATTATAATCACGTTATCAAAGCCAAGCTTCCGACGTTTAAAGCAAACGCTATTATTATAAAGGACCACTTCGAGACCGACCACCGGCGGCAAGCAAAATACGACCGCTAAAAGGAAATTTCGCTAGATTTGATTAAGAAAGAGAATCTAAGGACTTCGCTTAGCGAGTGCTTTAAGAAGCTCGCTAAAAAGCTTAAAGGCATTCAAGGCTTTTTACGACCAGGTTTGAGGGACGATCGAAGTCTTGCTAACAAGTTGTATTTAGCTTATAAAAACGTGCTAAAGACTACGATTGCACGAATGAACCCTGCGTTTACCTTTACCGCCGCAATTGCCGACATCCGCCGAGCAATTGCATTTGTAACTGAGACCTTCCGACCCGCCAAGGCTAGAGCTTACGCGAGCTCTAGCGAGCCACACGATCACACCTGCTTTTACAACACTTTAAAAGCTGACTCCGATTTGGACGAAGAATACGAATGCTTTATTTAAGACCGCTAATACTTCGGAGGTAAGAAAGCTGCCAAGGCTACTAAAGGTGAAAAAAGGTGTTTTGTTTGCAAAAAGCCAGGCTGCTAGAGCACCAACCACACCCCCGACGAGAGAAAGGCATCCGTCGCTAAGTTCCAAGCCTTTAAAGACGCAAAAAAGGTGACGAAAAGCAAATTCTTTTAATACGTAGCATCGATTAAAAGCTTGCTACTTGTATTTACAGAAGAATTCGATCAGTTTATCGCAGGCCTATTAGACGAGCCGCTCGAATCGAGCAGCTACGCTAATATATTAAAAGGTTTTATGACTACCTACGGCACTTTTAACGCTAACGAAGTATACAAGCAACTAGAGATTCAAACGGCATTCTACGCCTTTACTAGCCAAATCGAGACCCAAAACGTGCCTACGGGCAAAGCAGAGACTTATATAGCCTTTAAGTATTTTGAAAACGTATTTATAAGCCTTATGATTGATAGCGGAGCAGCTAATTTCTTTACCGCTAGCTTGCCCTAGCTATAAGCACTTTAAAAGAAGTACCTCGAAGTCTAATTGGATATATCTCGAGCAAAGGAAAAGTCCGTTAAGTATAAGATTAGCTTTGCCACTTTTATTAAAGCAGTTACTTTGGAAACGCCTTTAAGTTAAGTAAAGTTCTACGTTATAAAAAGCGATGTATCCTTTTTATTTTCATTAGCTGATATAGACAAGCATAAAATGATCTTAAATAACTTGCGGAACGTGCTAATGCAAAGGAAAAGGGAAATACTAATAGTAAGGATGTTTGGGCACGTATGGATGCTATTGAATAAGGAGCACGCTGCTACCTATTATAGCATCGAGGGCGAGACCGTCTACTGCTACCTTACGGAAGAGCAATTAAGGATTATCTATAAGCGTTTTGGCTATCCTTTAGCAAGTCGATTTGCTGCTGTTCTTAAGAAGGCCGAGCACGAATTCAAACGGGATTTGCTTTATAATATTTAAAAGTTTTGCTACTATTGCCAAGTCTTTAAGCGTTCCTTTAGAAGATTTAATATTAAGCTTAAAGATAATACTGATTTTAATAATACGGTATACGTAGACGTAATACACCTTGACGGCAAGAACGTATTGCACGTCGTTTGCGATTTTATTAATTTTTAGGCCGCCACCTTTTTCAAAAGCATGTTCGCACAGCACTTACTTAAAGGATTTAATAAATGCTAGATCAACACTTACGTCGGACCCTTTATAAACGTCGTGCACGATCCCGGAACCAATTTTAATTCGGCAACGTTTCGAAGCTACCTTAAAGGTATTAGCAGCACTTTAAAGCAAATGCTTATAAAAGCTTATCATAGCGTCGAGCTAGTGGAACGCTATTACGTTTTTGTGCGACGCGCTTTTAAGATCGTCATAAAAGAGCTTCTAAAAGCCTTAAAGGAGGACAGGCTTTAAATGGCTATTAAAGCTATTAACGACACGGCGGGACTTAATAGCTTGGTCTTTACGCTTCTCGTTTTTAGCACCTTATCGAAGCTGATGGAATAAGATCGATTTGCCGCGTCTATTTAAGAGCGTACTGCTGCTATTAATAAAGCTATAAGAGAAGTACGAAAATGCTACGCCGCAAGGCAAGTTAAGGACGCGCTTAAAAAGAGGAATGGACTAATTACGAAGCATACCTTAGACCTCTTTATTGGTTCATAAGTACTCGTGTGGCGGGAAAACTAAGGGTGGAAAGGCCCTTTTTAGCTGCTTGGCAAGCAAGGGCATACGTGCATAGTGGCATGTCCGAGACTTACGGAATTCAAGTTAACTTTAATAAAACCTTATTACTTTGAAGTTGAAAAGCTGCTAAAAGAGTTGCAAGTACTTAAGGTAAAAGCGGAAAAAGAAAAAAATAGAAGCGAAAGCGAAAAAGAGCTAAAACTACGAAAATCGTTTAAACCTTAATATTCGCATAATCCACCGAAGTCGCTTAATCCAAGAAGCTCGCTAAAACCAACAAATAGCCCTCTTAACTTTCAACTTGCTAATCCTTAAAAGTTAATAATACTAATAGTTTAGATACTTTACTAGAAGTACGATCCGAGTATCCCGATCGTGCTCGATAAAAAGGAGGACGATTCTTACGTGCTATTTATTAAGGACTCCGAAGTGTTAATTACCGATAAGAAACGCCGGGACCATAAGCTTTTAGCTAAGCTACGAGCCGAAAGAATTATTAAGAGCTTCGGAGCATCATTTTAAGAGTCTAGAGCAAAGGAATTAGCTGGATTAATAGCTTAAAGCATCCTTTAAGTGATCTCGGGCACCGACTCACGCGCTAAAGGCGCTAAGATTTTCGGATCTAGGTTTATTAACGAGATCAAGAGCAAAGGAACACTTACGCTATACGAGAAGTCTCGTATAATAGTCCAAGCCTTTTAAGATAAAGGCAAGACGAAGGTACTTACCGAATCTCTTACGGTATAATAAGCGGGCCAAAGACTTTATTGCGCTCTGGCTCTCTTTCTAATAAAGAACTACGAGTGCTAAGTTTATAGTAAGAATATCATACAAGCTTACACTCAGTTAAGTACGAAGCTTATACGAATAATCGTCGTGCGACTACTTAAAGAGATCACCTATCGATTCTTCTTCGGCACTTTGTTTCTTATGACTGGCCTTTTATACGGCATCCTCGAGGCAAGAACGCATTAGTATAAGCGTTTTTCAAAGCATTTCACGGACAACCTCGAGATAAGGCAATCGAGCTTTGATTTTTGCCTTTTTATATCAACTAACAAAAATCAGCTAAGAATAGCTGCCTTATAAACGGACGATATTCTTATAGTTGTTAATCCAGTTATAAAAGCAAAGGAGGAGAAGGAGCTAGTTAAATCTAAGCTAAAGAGCAAGGAAATAGAGACCTTTATATACGCCGAACCGATGATTTTTAATAAATGCAAGCTATCTTTAGATAAAGACGGGTTCGAGCTATTAGTTGGGCAGAAAGGGCAAGGTGAAAGGCTTGCCGTGATTAAGCTTGATTCAGCCACACGGGCTAAAGAGTACTTAAAGCAACGTGCTCGAGAAGCGTATTTAGCTATTATTTGCTACTTAAAGGCATCTTGCGCTTTATCGATAACTGCTTAGCATTAAGAACCAAAGGACGAAGATTATAAAGCCTTTAATAAGGTGATTTAATAGTTGATCGATTACTCAACTCGAAAGATCTATTACGTGCTTTTAGACTTAAGGACGGCGAAGCTTTTTATGTTCGTAGATAAAGCGTTTGCTAATAACGCTGATCTTAGCTCTTAGATCGGTTTCGTAGCTATCTTTAGCAATAAGGCTCACGTAAATGAGAACGAGTTTATTCTAACGGGTAATATCTTTTATTAAGTATTACAAAAGTGCAAAAGAATGATAAAAGCAATATTAGCCTTTAAGCTATACGCTATATCCTTAAGTATCGATATAGCCATTACTATATCGACTACCTTTGCTTAAATCACAGCCCAGTTAAGAATCTTTAATTTCTTCGTAATAGTGTGCATTAACTTTTACTCGCTTTACGAGTGCATAGTAAAGCTAGGAACTACTAAAGAGAAGCGCTTTATGATCGATATTATAGCTATTCGAGAGTCATACGAGAGGCGAGAGCTCTTTAAAGTACGCTAGATCGGAGGCAAATCCAACCCTGTTGACGCCATGATTAAAACCGAGGCTAATTCCTTTTTGCAAGAGCTAGTTTTGACCAATACCTTAAAGGTGCAAGTGGACGGGTAGGTGGAAAGGCCGCTATAAGAAAAAGAAGGATAAGATTGTTTTTCTTTTATTTGATTACTTTCTTTTTTTTTTCGGTCGATATAATAGTTAGCAAGGCATTGCTTGCTAAAAAGAGAGTTGCCGGTGTCGGTATATCTATATCGACCTTAGCTAGCTAGTAATAGTAGTTAAAGAAGCTCACTTATAAACTATAGTTCACGGGTCATTTAGCATGCTTCGTTTAGCATATTAGCAGTTAAGGGACCCTTAACTTGATAAGTAAGCCTATTAGTTAGCTAGTGCACGTGATTCCTTTTAATTATATAGAAGGAATCAGCTCCTTTGAGCATTAAAGAGCAAACAGAATTTAAATACTTTATTAACCGAGTGTTTTGCAATTGCAAGTACTTTGACGACCGTTACGACCTTACGAATATATATTCCCAATCGCTTGGAAGCAATCCAACAATTATTACCGGTTAAGATGCTTAAAATAACTTTATATATTAAGCACGCTAATACGACACCGTAGTATTCGCCGCAATCGATAGCTTTTTAAAAAAATTTAAGTTTATTAAGCGAACGTAAATAAAAAGCAGCTATATTATATTACTTTACTTTACTTTTATTATTCGATAAATATTAACGTTATTTATATTTAAAAATTATATACGCACTCGAGTATTAAAACTTAAAACTATTTGTTTTACGATTATTATGCTTTAATAAAATCGTAAGATAATTAAGACGATGCTTAATACTTTGTTAAGCGATTACGAGTAATAACTTACGTGCGTAAAAGCGTAAGTCTTCGTATTTAATAACGCTATTTTATTCGTAATAAAGATCTTTTATAAGTCGATGTGAACGGCTTCGCTACTTTAAACGTTTATTAGCAACTTTTAATAGACTCGATTATAAATTATATCACTTATTTCGTTTTTTTTTTTAAGTGCTTAATTAAAAGAGATTTTAATATGTAATACGATATATTCGAATTAAAAGTTAAGCTTAAAAGCCGAAGAAAAGACTTTGCGGCTTAGTTTAATGCTAATAAGATAAATTATATTAAACTTTCGAGCGACTTTATTTATAAAACTAATTACGTTTTAAACTTGATTTTTTTAAATATCTCGTTTGCTTAAACGATAATTCGCTTTAATCTTTATTCGAGCTTAAATTACGAGACTTAAGTTACGATTATTTTTAATTAAAGAATCGTTTTTTTAAAACGCTTTTAATATCGAGTACCGGATTAAAACTTTAAGAAATTCGCTTCGTTTATAACGCTAAGCGTAAATTAACTTTTCGATTTATAAACGATATATTTTATCGAAGAACTCGATCAGCTTACGATTAGCTTAATTATTGCTTTTAATTTTGTTTTAAAAGTTGCGAAACAATTTGCTCGAGAAAAGCTAACGGCTATATTATAATAGATAATAAACTGCTAAATAACGTATAAGAAACACTTAATAACGCGTTTTATAATATACGACGAAGAACCGATTTAAAAAACGCGAGATTAGCTCGTTATAATTAAAAAAGCTAAAAAAGCTTATTAGACTTACGTAATCGACGGAGTGAAATCGAATTAAAACTTATACAAAGTCATAAGCTAGTATAAGCTTACTTCGAACTTAAAATCGCTTTTTTTAATAGTTAACGACGAAGCTATCGAAGATATTAAAAAGAAAGCGGACGCGTTACGAGAAAGCATTTTTAAACGATTTAACGCCGCCGACGACTTCGATTACGATTTATTTGTTAATTAAAAAAGCATTAGCCGGCTTTTTTAAGATATTACGGTATTATTAAAAAAAGTAAAGTCTTACGTGATCGAAGTGATAAGCACTTTACTTAAAACGGATAAAATTATCGTACGATTGCTTAAAGCATGCTAACATTACGTTTACTATTTTTTTTACGGCTTTTTTAATAAGTGCTTAGCTTTTTATTATTTTTCGAATGCGTAAAAGCTCGCTAAAGTCTCGATAATTTAAAAAAAAAAAAAAAAAAAAAATCTTTATCCGCTTTTAACGACCGATTGCTTTACTTTCGTACATTTTTAAAAGATTAAAACGCATCGTTACGAAAAGAATCGCGTAAATTGCTTTTATTAACGACGTCTTTAACTTATAATACGCAAAAGCTTTTTTATAGCGCTTTATATTAAACTTCGCTTCGTGCTTAATATACGATATTAAGTTCGCATTTGCAATTAAATATTAAGTTATTATAATTATTAT